ACAGAGATGTGGACAATTTATACTTGAAATGTTAGTCGTCTGCTAAATCTTCTACATAAAAAAATAAATATTACTTCATTTACTTAACTCAAAATAAATAGATTTTCTCGTCCTTTCGTGGTTTGTAGTATCGACTTGTAGTTCGTTCACATAGAACGGCGAATTGTTATCCAATTTGTAACTGAGTTAATTATTGGGTCAGCGTTATTAAATGTAGTTAAAAGTATTTAATTCGTTTTATAGATTTCAATCTCTTGTTTGGCAGCCGACACACACACACACACACACACACACACACACACACACACACACACACACACACACACGTTATCGTACGTAAGATATACCCACCATGTCAGCCAATTCGGGCATTTCTGCCCAGCGACACGTCATTTATGCAAATATTGGATCATGTATTATTTTGGGCAGAAAATCCATTTTGCATAAAAAACTGTCGTACTTTAATTAACAAAAGTGATATTCATAAAGTGTACAAGAATATCCCACATTTCGACTCGAGATGCATATGAAAATGGGATTTCTAAATGTCAACATGAAGACCCAATCCATGACCTTCTTGAACCTGTAATCCAGTTTATCCTATTTGATATATATATTTTAGAATCATACAAATAAATACATTATTTAAAAGATCGAAATGAATACTTTAAAAGAATTCTGCATTTTAATCCAAGTTTGAAAGAAATTGTCCCACATGTACAAAAAATCGTATTCTACCCAACGTGTCAACCTGCCGCGGGAACGAGATTCTCAAGAAGTTCCTCGGCGTATAGTCGAGTTCTATCTTTCTAAATTCTTCGGTAATGTTTCCCATAAACAGGAGGTTGTAAACACATTACATCCTATTCATTTATGTTTTTCTTCCACATCAAAACTTATTTACTTATTTTTTAAAATAAAATGTTGAACTTTGCATTTTTTTTTTACAAGATCGGTTTAGTTGGCTTAATATCTCTTGCCATTTATTGGCATTGTTATGTTGTTACGTTAACTTTTGTAAAAAAAACTAGCTATAAACCTGACCTAATTACTACACTAAACTGCTGATAGAAACAGTCCAAAGTAGTGTATTTTATTTCTAAAGTCTGATAGATAAATATAAATACATAATGATTTTTGTAGCCGCCTTGTCTCAGGAAAATGTTTAAAAAAGCTCTTTCCTGTCAAAAATAATGTAAAAGGGGTCGATGGTAAAAAGGAGTCGAGGGGCTGATGGTAGAATCGGTTCAGTATAAAAACCGCCAGTTCTATAAGGAATTAATCTTAATACCTCAGTCAGAATGTTACAAGCATCCTTTCAACAGATTTTTTTGTATCTTTAATATAATATCATTATCATTTTTCTGTAATAGGTCATCATCGGATGAAAATTTGCCCAAAAAACCCTCTCCAGTCACATCTCTCTCTCTCTCTCACACACACTCACACACACACACACACACAAACACACACACACACAAACACACACACACACACACACACACACACACACACACACCCAAGACACACACACACACACACTTGAACTAATTGGGTACTTTTGTTGACGTCTTGTAGATATTTTTATACGCAGCGAATCTTTCATTAAATACCAGTTTGATTCGAACTTCAATTTTGCAGTAAATTTACAAATATTCAGAAAGCGCAAAAGAGGATACCCTTACGCCATATCAGATTCGAATCCTTTTGCAGACTTAAGAGAAAAGATACGAACGCCGTTTGTGTATGCTGCAATAAAGTGGTCAGCACACATGACATCTGCCATGTTGGTCCTGGAGTCATAACATGTACCATTTTCGAACGAGGACTGAACGGTTATGTGAGCTATCGCATGCCGTAGGTGAAAAAACATCGTCTGCATCATCTTGTTTTCTTTCAACTATTTTATTTTCTACCTAAGATTTGATTATTATATGATTTGTCTAACGAGTACATACTGTTTGTTTAACAGTAGAACGCAATAGCTTCCAGGATTGCACTGTCTTGTATCCAAATAGACTCTTTTGTAGCAACAAATGTAGACAAACCAAACGTTTTCACTATGGGTCGACAATTGAACGTATCTGGTTATTTCTGAGACGAAAGTCTGCCTCACATACATGTCAGGGCAGTAAATTATACATTTTGTTCGCCATAAATATCCCTACCAGAAAGAGTCTCCAAAGTATTCAAACCACCTCGGCTATTTATCAGGTTGAAATGCCTATATTATAACTGACCGAGAAATTGGAAATGTGAAATAGATGCATTCGTAACTTTTTGTTAATCCCTGTTTAGTACATAACAGGTGCTCCGAACAGCACTATCAGCATACATTCAAGGTATGATTCGCAGTCGAATGTGTGTGTTGATGCTCAGTGCATCTATAGAAATGGTGTTTAAATAATTCATGCACGAAACGAATTTAGCAAATATACCCACATTTCGAGACGCTCGTGAAAATTCACTGAGATACAGACGTTGATATTATATGCGATGCTGAGCTGAACAAATAATAAAACATGTTGAAATGGAAGTTCGAAGTTGAAATGGTAGCGACAGATACAGCAACAGCACAAATCAATAACAGAAAAATCGGGCCAATGTTCAACTACTTGATGTAAGGGTTAATTTGTTTCCAGTTGTAGAGCTTCAAGTTGCCCGGGTTTTGATTGTTTTTACCCTGTTATGCAAGTAAAAATAATTTATATTTAGAAACAGGTTATATTCCGTTGATTGAAGGGAGAACCAAAGACCCACTGATTCTCAAATGTTTTTTCTTTTGTTTTTTGAGGAGGTTTAAGGCTTGACTCCACTTTTGTGAACGAGATTAGTCGATTTTCCTTGCATAATGGGTCTGGCATTGTTTAAGTTTCATACAGGCATGCTTCTTACGGGAAATAATTTTTACCACGCAATATCAGTAAAATAATATTTCAGATCATATACGTCTAATTATGTCGTTCGAAGAGCTCAAACAATCACTACTTCCAAAAACTAAAAATTTTCAGAAACATTTATCAGAGTGATATAAACTTATTGATCATGCACACAACGCTGAAGAATAATTGCAGCTCCCAACAGCAGCATCTCTTGTGTGTAGGTTTAAGTGACACTCCTGTTTCTGTATGTGAAGTAGGCGCCGCACGTTGTTTCTATACCTTGCAATCATGTTAATCAAGACACATTCTTGAATCAATCAAACCGAATTTAAATTTAAGTTAAGATTTATTATTTAGAAAAAGGCTCAAACTTGCGACGCAGCAAAATCAAATAATGTTTTAGGCAGTAAAAGCTTATATTAAAACTATAAACAACTATAAAATAGTGTTAAAAAACTTTCTTGTATATCCGAAATGAGTTTCATATTCGACTATCTTTTGCTATTTTCTCCTTTGTCTTGTTTTCAACAGTCACCTACATGATGTATTTATGAAATTATTCTGTATATAAACATGCTATGTATGTATGTATGTATGTATGTATGTATGTATGTATGTATGTATGTATGTATGTATGTATGTATGTATGTATGTATGTATGTATGTATGTATGTATGTATGTATGTATGTATGTATGTATGTATGTATGTATGTATGTATGTATGTATGTATGTATGTATGTATGTATGTAATTTGATACAAATAATACCATCATACAGGTTAGAAAATTATAGTTTGCACTCTACGTCTACGGAGTTTCAAACCCAGGTCCGCGAGTAAATGGCACCCATCTTCTGCCTGCACACACCAGTGGAAATATATAATAATAATTAATCGTTTCTATTCCATTCCTACCTGAATTGCAGAATGCAGAGGTTTTTACTGTTGTGTTCAGACTGACTTTGAGAGGAATCATTTCCTTCATTTATTTATTGGAATTACAAAGTACTCATGTCACCGTTAGGCATAAAACACTACTTTGGGACTATTGTGGCTTCATTGAAAGCGTTCTGACACGTCGGTACATTCAAGACTGTTGGTGTATCAGTACATTCAATACCTGGAGTATATTGGGAACACTATTTTTTTTAAAGACATTTGATAGAACCTTTGGAACTGTCTTGGAAGTAATTCACAATACTGTAAATTCCTTTTAAATATTCATTTTGTAACTATAAAAAATTTTTTAATGAAATTTACTAAACTTTTTGATTTACTTTTTTGTTACTTAGTTTAAGACAATTAAATCGTGACGGCGATATTAAGATGATGATTCGTCTTAACCTAATCAAATTGTTTTCAACCAAACAGTGCTTAAACTTATGGTTGTGTCCACCTTCACAATTAAAACCATGAACATTACCAACTTAGCAGTTTGTTATTTTAATTCATTATTTTTTGACTTTTTGTAATACCATGATAAATTTTAAAAAAGGACATTAGGTCTAAATTATTGAAAATGATAGTTCTTGAGGAAAATTATTTTCAATTATATGAAACATTAAATAGCATATTTTTGCACAGATCGAAATTGAATATTTGTCCAAAAATTAAATGTTTATATATGCATGTCATGACATGAAATACCCAACATTTATCTTATCTATTTATAGCCGCCTTTAAGCCTATTGGACCAATTTGGCGCTCACACGGACCCCGCCCGTTAGTATTTTTAAAAAATATATCTACAGAGAGAAAGTAATTTTAAAGTGATGGATGTGATTACGTGAAGTGATTATGATTTTTAACGTAGCTTTAACAATTTTTCAGTCATATCGCTACGATGTCTGCATTATGGCAGTTTGTAGTGATGTCTAGCACTGGGGCATCATGACGCAGACATGTAGCATCATGTCCCACCCAGTCACATTATCCTGACACTAAACCGACCAGTCCTAACGCTAATTTTTTCAATATGATATTGTGCATTCGTATTTTTAATATATATTCTCATTCATTAAGAAATGAACTGAATAAATGTAGATACACTGTTGTGGCGCTTTAATGCTGAACGTCAAGAAAGGCAGCTGTTAGTACCATTTTTGTAAATCTTTGGTATGACTCGACAGGGGATCGAACCCACGACCTTTCGCATACGAGGCGGAAGCTCTAACCACTAGGCCACCGGAGCGGTTATAAAGTGATGGAAGAAATTTTAAGTTCAATATCACATAAAACTTTTTTAAAAGGTTATTTCCAAATGCCGTGCTCACAGGAAGGCTCGAGTGTAAATCCAGAGGGACACGCCACAATTATCCAAATCTGGACCCGTGCTTGCTCTGGCCGTTCCTGAATCTATTAATATCTAATAGCCTATCATCTTCTGAAAATGCAACAAGCTACCAACCCACCACCATGTCCACCGTTATTTATCATATTTACTAATTTTTGATAGTAATTTTCACATGTTTATTTGATCTAAGCTAATTTCCTCAGAGTAAAGAATTTTACTGGTGAGGGTATTGTAGGAAAAATTATATTTCCTTTAATATTGAAGTAAAGATCTGCGATTACGTGTTCAGAATTACTGTAAATTTTATCATGACATGACAGTTTGAACCCTTTCTGGTACTCTACTTCTTCAATCCTATCAAAACATTTGTAGGCTCATCATGTATCCACCCCACCCCCAAAAAGCAAGCGTTAAGTATGGTATCTCTTGAAAGAAATCTTTCTTTCCATTGAAATTAATATTTTTATCACTCAAAATATATTCTTTTAATAAATTTATTTATCTGCAGTAATCAAAGACAAGACAACTACCCCAGCGAATAGAGCAATAATGAGCTCAATCAAGACTGGATTTTGCTGATTTTCTGTTCTAATAAAATTATTGACAAAAAAAAGTCAGCTATGTAAGAATTTTTTAAAATACGTTTACTTTAATAAAATTATTCATCTTGGGTACATGATTACCGTATGTGGTCGCTTCTAAGTCTCGCTACACTGTAACGGCACAGACTGTTTTTTTTTTTTTTTGTGTGGTATCATGATAGCCTACAGACCCGGGTCTGTGTTTGTTCAAACAATTGCTGCATAGATCCATTATGAAACAGCATATCCGGGTCTGTGTGATTTGCAATTGGATTCGACGGAAAAGCGGGTATAGACGGTGTATAGGTTGTATTTTTTTATTTGTATAGACGGTGTATAGGTTGTATTTTTTTATTTGTATAGACGGTGTATAGGTTGTATTTTTTTATTTGGTTTCGATGTAGTATCACCCTGTACAGCTACACTATGAAGGTTATATTATTCCGAATTAGTGCACCCTTGCCATAAATTAATGTCCGCAACTCCAAAGTGAATAATTATAAGTATGTTGTGTCCTGTATATAGTAGTGAAAATATACATAATGGTTAAGTAAGTGTTAGGATTTCCGGAGTGCCTCAATTTCAGGTTATGAAAGCCAATATTACGACAAAATGCTTTTATTGCTTAATTCATCCGGAAAAAGTATATAATAAAATAAATATCAGGGATGGGGATGCATAAAATACTTTATTACGATAAAGCTTGGTAAATACGAGAACTTCATTGATATCCCTTAAATTGTATCAATTACCATCAATGGAGTTAACTTCAGATACATTTGAATAGTTTACGGCAGCTTTGAATTTTGGATAACAATAGCCTTGCGGTGTTGTTTGTCGACATGGTAAAAAATCATATATTGGAAGCTAAGCTTCATGAATTTTTCAACTCGATAACTGTAAAGATAAGAGCCTGCTTCCGACATTGGTGCCAAAAGTGTGCAGCGATTTAATATTGCTATAATAGTAAGAAAACGTTATCTGCAGACTGCATCCATCCCTGAGTCTGGCGGCATTAATTTTTAGGGAATTAATTTAGAGAAATTTTACAGTTTGAGTATTCAGCTGTCGGAATAGCCAATATATCGTGACAGCTGAATCTAAATCCCCATCCTCATTTGAGAGAGAGAGAGAGAGAGAGAGAGAGAGAGAGAGAGAGAGAGAGAGAGAGAGAGAGAGAGAGAGAGAGAGAGAGAGAGAGAGAGAGAGAGAGAGAGAGAGAGAGAATGAGTATTAATGTATATACTTATATATATATCCAGTATGATTCCTTTTCCTTCCTGGTTTCGGAACTCCAGCTGGTATTATATCACTGAAAGTGTGGCCAGGGGAGGAGAAGTGTTCTGCGACCGGGCTTCTGTACAGCTTTTTTGTCATCCAATCAGATCTATGAAGGTTTATCCTTTTGTGTAGCTTTTCAGTTTCTCCCACGTACTGAAGGCCACAGATCTTACATGTGATGAGAAAAATCACATTCTCTGTTTTCCACGTTTTGTTTGGACCATGTATGTTTAGTTTTTCTTTAGTCACTGTGCTAGTGAATGTCTTGGTCTCTATCATATGTTGACAGGTTTTGCATCTTTTATCGCCACAGGGTCCAGATTGACTAGGTTGGTTTTGACTAGCGATTGTTGTTAGCTTGGCCCTGACTAGGATGTCCTTTAGGTTTTTTGGTCTCCGGTAAGCTACTACAGGTTTGTTCGGAAGTATTAGGTTTAGTATGTCTGACGACTGCACGGTTGGCCAGTGGTTTGCGATGATTTTACCTACTTTGGGATTGTCTGGGTGATAGGTCAGAATAAATGGTATCCTATCAACCTTTTCTTTCTGTCCATATCTGAGTAGGTCATCACGGTTTGTTTGTTTGGCCCTTTGGATTGCCTCCGCAATCAGGTCTTTGTCGTAGCCTCGGTAAATTAAATGTTTAGCCAGCTCTTCAGACCTTTCTAGGAATCTTTCATCGTCGGAGCAAATTCTGCGTATCCTCAGTGCCTGGCTATATGGAATGTTCTTAATGCAGTGTTTTGGATGACAGCTGGTTGGGAGAAGATACTGGTGTTTGTCGGTTGGTTTCGAGTAGATGTCAGTGTGTAATTTGTTTTCCACCAGTCTGGTTGTTGTGTCCAGGAAAACATGGTTTGAGTTGGAAATTTCTGCCGTGAATTTTATTGAAGGATGGAAGTTGTTTGCCTTTGATATGAAGTCATCCAGACTTTCTCTTCCATACTGCCACTTCATTTCTATATCATCGATAAAGCGTACCCACTGGTATGGTGTACGCTCAACCGATGCTAAGAGCTTTCCCTCAAGTTTTCCCATGAAAATGTTAGCAACCAGGAAGGAAAAGGAATCATACTGGATACGCCGCCTTAGAACATTGAAACCAAGCGGTCTAAACCAAGAAGACTAGAAAATGAAAACTATGCACTAGTAGAATTTAACATTTTCTAAATCTTCTTATTATCCTTCAATTTTTACTATAAGAATAACCGGTATAGAATCAAATATCCGGGATATAATCTGCGTTACATATGTACACACAGTAAAAATAGATGTCGCTTTGGCTTGTAGACTTTTAGGGAATTATACAACGTTTTCAGTTTCCGCAACTAGTCTATACAAGCTGGTTGTATTTATAGTTTTAGCACATGTGAAGACAGAAATGTAGAGGTTTACAAACACAACGTTTTTGTGTTTATTTGTTTGTCGTAACTATGTTTTGTATTTGCCTTTGAAAAAGACTCATTAAGAGTCGAAAGCGCTTAGGCTAGTTAGTTACTAGTTTCGTACTGTTCGTCGTCAGTTTATTGCATCTATTTTAATTAATCCCTGACACACGTGATTCCTTGGTGGATCCAGTACGCTTGAGAGGGTTGTTATTCGCCATATGATTTGTATTCTTTATATATATATATATATATATATATATATATATATATATATATATATATATATATATATATATATATATATATATATTAGTAGTTAGGTACATTGATGAGAAGGTAGATCGGTAGGTAAATATGTATGCGTGTATTTAGAGCATAGCTGTTTACAATATTTTGCACCCTTTCCGCATTCCTTCCTCGATAAGACTGCTACTGATTCTGACCACACACACACACACACACACACACACACACACACACACACACGCATATATATATATATATATATATATATATATATATATATATATATATATATATATATATATATATATATATATATACACACACACACACATACACACACATACACATACACTAAATTAATTTCACTATGATATATGCTACATGTACAATGAGAGGTTTGTATACTTTAAGGAAAGGATACAATTTAATACGAAAAATTCTAGTCCAATTCATTCTCCTTTTGGGTTTGTGTTAAAAGTATATTTAAAATAAAGTAGCTGATTTTCTACATTTTGCTAGTGGTATCCTTCTTTTATGATAAATTAAGCATTAACAATATACTGTATCACACTTTCTTCGTTCTTTCTTGTCATCATCGTCAGTGTGTTAGAGGTCGTCAAAAATATTTTCATGTCGAGGTCTCTAAATAGTCAACACCGCAATTTCGATTGGAATAGCCCCTTAAATTTGCAATTTCCCAAGAAAGTTTCCCAAAGTTTTATATTCCTGATTTTTAGAATGGTAGTGTCAATGATAACGATAAAGTGTGTATATTTCTTCGTCTTTTAGTTATTCCCTCTCGTGCTTAACATATGTTTAATAAGGTAAAAAAATAACATAATATGCCCATGTTAGACGAATACCTATGTAAATACGCTGCGAGACTTCTAAAGTAAACCTGAAAAAATTGCCAAGAAAATGTTTAATTTTTAAAGATAATTAGCTAATTAATAGGTAGAGCATATCGGACTATGCAAGGGTGTAGTGCCGTGGTAAGCTGTGGGAACGGCGTTTACTTACATTATTGCGCGTTCACTTATGCTCGTCATCCCCCCCTCTACCGCATATGAGTAACATGCATTCCCTTATTTCTATCACTATAACACTAAGTCTATGGCAATTGTTCGTTGAGAAATTTCCCTATCAGAGTCCATAGGAATGCGGACAAGTTACTCTATTAGTCTAGAGCATCATTGTCCATGGGTTAATTGTACGCTCACAAACGACATTATTAGGCAAGAGCGTCATAGTCCATCTGTTAATTGTACGATGAAAAACTACCATAATGAACAAGAGCATCCTAAGTTTCTGAGTGCTAATAATCAGAACTATATTTATTAGTATCGATGCATCCTGGATAACAGGTTTTGTGCAGAGAAAAAGATATAAGCCCCGGTACTTT